TGCCTCTGCCTCCCGAGTGCTGGGATTAAAGGCGTGCGCCACCAACGCCTGGCTGCTCATTATTTTTTATGACTAAATCTGTGTAGGGTACAATTGGTCTCTTCATTCACTTCGGAGCTATTACAAGTAAAGTTACTGTGTGCTTAAGCCTTTGTTTGGAGTAATCCTGTTTAAAACTACACTTATATTGTGCACGTGCCTGTGAATTTGGAGTAGGGAATTTCTGTGTCACGACATGTGTGGGGAGATCAGAGGACAGCTTGTAGAAGTCATTCCTCCCTTTCCACTATGTGGTCCCAGGCATCAAACTCAGGTCACACTTGACAGCAAGTGCTTTTACTTACTGAGCCAGCTTGCCAGCCCATGAATGTATCTTTAATTTCTCTTGAGTAAAAATTATCAGAATGATTATAGTGAGTCTTTCTTTGTTCTACCAACCAGCTCCCAAATAATGACACAGAGACTTATTAACAGTGAAAGCTTGGCTTTTAGCTTAGGCTTGTTTCTAACTAGTTCTTGTAACTTAAACTAACCCATTTCTATTAATTTACTTTCTGCTTCATCTCTATAGTGCCCATCTTGCTGGCTCTGCATCTCATGGCATGTTCCCTTCTTCCTAGCATCGTCTCTGCCTGGGAACCCTGCCTAGCTATTGGTCATTCAGCTTTTTGGTTTTCTTTTTCTTTTCTTTTTTTTTTTTGGTTTTTAGAGTCAGGGTTTCTTTGTATTGTTTTGGAGCCTTCCCCAGAACTCACTTGGTAGACCAGGCTGACCTAGAACTCATAGAGATCCACCCGTCTCTGCCTCCCAAGTTCTGGGATTAAAAGCATGCGCCACCAAAGCCCGGCGGTCATTCAGCTTTTTATTAAACCAAAGTGGCATATCTTCACACAGTATAATCTAATATCTGTCAACAAACAGTTATATGATGAATGTATATTTAACATGGTAAGAAATAGGCAGCCTATTTATTCCAATGGGAATTCACCATTCTATGTTACCACCAACAGTGAATGTTCTTTAATACAGTTCATATGTAAATTGTTTAAACAGCAGATTTTATTTTTGGTTTTGGCTCACTTGTTTTGATGCTGTTTTATTTTGTTTGGGTATTTTAGAGAAAGTCTTCATATGTATTCATGGCTTGCCTGCAATTACAGAGTGGTTTCAAATTCCAAAGCAATTTTTCCTTTGCCTCCAGAGTGTTAGAATCACAAGCATGTTCTGCCTAAACAATGTTTTTGTTTTGAGATCTAAATTTTAAAAGATGTTGTGTCTAATATTACTTGAGACAAGAAAATTATCAATGATGGAAGCAAAATGTGTTTCAATGTTTATTTTACCAGAATTGTTGATCCAATTATACTTTTTGTTAAATAATTTATAACTTGTATGTGTTGGGTTTTAGTATTTAATATTTAGTTACCCACCACTACTAAAAATGACTGGCTAAAGGGCTTTTGGAGTTTATTTGGTTTGGCTTGGGGTTTTGGGCCTCAAATCATTGATTCTCCTGCCTTAGCCTTCCATCTTTAGGATAATAGGCGCGTGCCACACATACTTCGTTGCATTTTTTTTACATAGATTTTACTGTGTTGTCTGGGCTGGCTTATACCACTCAAATGCTGGGATTATAGATATATGTCACTATTGCTGGTGAGGGCATACTTTTACCATGAAAATCCAAGCTGGCGACTGTCAGCATACTTGTAATTCTAGCACTTGGGAGGCTGAGGCAGGGGGATTGCAAACTTAAGACTAGTCTGCTGCATGAAACCCCATCTCAAAACAAAAATGAAATTCAAGGTAGATCAGACCCAATTAAAGAGGAGCTGTGTCTTGTTTAAGTCCCAGTAACATATTTAACATGCACGTGACTTTCTGAACTCTAACTTGCTGACAGAAAAAGAATCTGACCTCATAGATACTTGCCAGTGTCCTGTTGGTCATCTGGATGCCTACCAAGTGTGGCATTACCCTTTAGATCTCAGTGACAAGAAAGAAATTAAAATACAACGCTAAATAAAACAGTAGACACACTTGCTCTGTTTTTACCCTAGCTAAGATCTAAGGGTTTACATAGAGCACATGTTACCAACTGACAAGCCTCTTCTAATCCTGATTTACAAATAGAAATGATAGCATAAGTGCCAGGATTGGCTGAGTGTTGTCTGGAACCTCCCAAATGTTGAGTAGGACAAAGAAGCCATTTGTGCTCTAGATGTATAGTCATGCTCTCACCAGGATGTTACCTAACCTTATTTGGGGGATCAGTCTTTGGGGATTTTGATCATAAACAGTCTTTTTTTCTGCTGTGATATAGGGGCTAGATAATGCATAACATCTGGGGCCATTAGGCAATGCCACCTCTGTATTAGAGATTAATCCCTTCTACTCTGAGCTTTTCTGTTTGATTGAGAAGCTTTTGTTTAGTCTCAAGTTTCCTCCCAGCAATTTAAAAATGTTTATCTAAAGGATAACTTTCCTTTATAAACTGAGTGTTGATCGACTGTACTGAAAGTCACATTCCAGACTTCCTGAACGACATTGAGTTTGGTTGTAAGCCTTTAATGGACCCTCGGTGACAGGAATTCTCATTATGCAATGATAAATGGAACCAGAGCAAGATGTACCTCTAGTTCAGAGTCTTTGCTTTAGTATGGGAAGGTCTAGTGTTAATTGCATGAATGAAAATGACTTTTTTTTGTTTTTCGAGACAGGGTTTCTCTGTGGCTTTGGAGGCTGTCCTGGAACTCGCTTGGTAGTCCAAGCTGGTCTCGAATTTACAGAGATCCGCCTGCCTCTGCCTCCCAAGTGCTGGGATTAAAGGCGTGCGCCACCAACGCCCGGCGAAAATGACTTTTTATTGGATGTAGTAGCCATGCTTGTAATCCCAGTACTTGAGGGGTAGAAACAGGAAGATTGGGGGGTCAGGACTGATCTTGGCTGGGTAGTGAGTTTAGGGCCAGCCTAGGTACGCGCCTTAAAAAAAGCAACCCTTACAAAAATGCTGGTGTGGTGTTGCACAACTTTAATTTTAACATTTCAGGCAGCAGAGGCAGGCAGATTTCTGTGAGTTCAAGGCCAGCCAGGGCTAAATAGTGAAATCCTATCTCAAAAAATGAACTTCCAAAATATACAAAATTGGGATGTGGAGATAGGAACATCAGGAGTTCAAGGACAGCTTTTGCAATATAGAGAGAGTTCAAGGTCAGATTGGATTACATGAACTCTATCAACAAACAAACACCCCCCCCCACAACAAGTCTTTTTGTTTTTAAGATACCAGGCTGATTTCTCAGGAGACTGAAGAGCAGTACATGCACCCTGTGAGATGAGTCAGGTAAACAGGGTCTCATTGCTTCCCCTCTCTGCTGACATCTTATTGTTAGTTACATTCTTCTTCAAAGAACTTGAATTGGAGACAAATGAGCATGACAGCTTAACTTCAGCTTCTCCCTCTCTTACTCTTTGTTGTTTCTTTCCTTCCAGATGCTTCTCAACTTCTGTTTACCCTGATCTGGCCTCATCCCAAAGGAGTCAATGTACTCACAGCACATTGTCTCCCTTCTTCTAATCAAAACCCCCAGCCTAACAAGGCTGACATCAATTTGGACGTTCCAATTAGGCTATTCACAGGACAATTAAAACGACCAATGAATGTAACTCCGCGGGGAGGCATTTGTGTTTTGAAGCCATATTCTGGCTCAGCTCTCAGTCACTGGGGGAGTCAGTGGTGGATGTAGTCAAGAGTCTCTGTCATCTTCCTTTCCCCACCCCCACCCTGGAAAGCCTCCCTGAAGCTTGGAAATGGGGCAGACACTAGCTTCTCTCCTAGATCCCCATTACTGTTTCTATTTGTTTGCTGGAAACTGGCAAAGGAAGGTTAAAGACAACCCAGGTTTCTTCCTAAGAAAATGGGAACAATACAATGATGTTACCTATTTCGCAGGGTTATTGTAGAGATGGATTCATCTTCTGTGTAAAACAGTAGGCTGCCTAGGAAATAATAAGCATGCAATTTAGGAAGCATTTGTGATTTACAAAGTGGTCTCTGAGAGGAAGAGAATAGACAGCTGCTAAGTATCTCTCTTAGTGTCCTTTCCCAGACCTTTATTGCTTGCAATACTTGATTTTCATTCATGTGAGTGTTGTGAAGTTCCCTTTAAAATAAATTAAAGTAGGGAATTAAAATCATTAGGTACTGGGTATCAGGTCATATGTAGATATGTTAAATATGGTGATAAATGTAAAAAAATATTATTTGATTCATTCTTATAGAACAAGTTCAAGTTATGGGTGTTCAGTGGTACAGATGTGCCTAACATGGACAAGGTCCTTACTTGAGTCCTAGCACTGCCCCCCCCCAACTAGAATAAGATGAAATCTCACAATAATTTCACAATGATCCTGATGGGCACTGTATTTGCTACTTTACTTTTAATTTGTAAACTGTAAAAATTTACTACTAAAAATTACTTATTTGCCTATCCCCTGTCTCTTCCCCTGTTTCTTTTTGTTTGTTTGTTTTTGTTGCTGTAGTTATCTTATGTTTGTTTTGTTTTGAGACAGGACCTCATACTATATTCCAAGCTTGTCTGGAATTCCATGTAGAGCTGGCCTTAAATTTATGTCAGTCCCCTGTACATGTAGAAGCCAGAGGTTGATATGAGGAGTTACAGTTAATTGCTCTCAACTTCACTTTTTTAGACAGGGACACTTAGTGAACAGGAAAGTCCATCAATTTGGTTAAGCTGCCTGGAAAACGAGTTCCACGAATCTACCTGTCTCTGAACACCATCCCCTAAAGTGGGGTTACAGGTGTTTGCCACTATGCCCAGCTTTTACATGGGTGCTGGAGATCCAAACTCGGGTCGCCAAGCTTGCATAATAAGAGATTTCCCTACTGAACCATCTACCCGGCTCCCTGCCTTTTTCTTGTTTGCCTCTCTACTAGAACATAAGCCTCTGCCAGCAATCAATACTTTGTTTTGTTTCAGGAAGTAAACAAAATACCTAACATACCACGTGACCGGTAGCAAGTGAACAATAATTATCTGGTAAGTGGCTGATTGAATAACTGTGGCGTTCACAGTCCTTTATGATTTAGTACCACTGCTTTCCAGCTCCACCCTTGGCCATCTTCTCCTCTGTGTATCACCCAGTTTATCATTTTCCCATGTGCAACACTTATAGCCTCATATCTGTATTTACTTATAATCTTTCCTCTGCCCTGTAAATAATCGGGGATATTTGCAAATATTCGGTTACAAGAATGTGCTTCACAGTCTGAGCTTGTACAAGTGAAAAAAATGTGAAACAGACAAAGCATTCATAAATAATTTATATTTTAAAGAAATCATTGTTGGGGCAGGGATGCACTCAGCTGATAGAGTACTTGTCTAGCATGTACTGGGTTCAGTTACCGCCACATAAACTGGGCGTGGTACATGCCTAAAATCCCAGCACTTGGGAAGTGGAGGCAGTAAGATTAGCAGTTCAAGGATATCCTCATATGTAGAGTTCCATGCCATCCTTGGCTATACGAGGCCCTGAATAAAAGGAAGGAAGAAAAGAAGAAATGGAGGAAAGAAGGGGGTCATGATAGCTTTCACTCATTTTGACTAGGGTTAGGATTACAGTTCTATGACAAGAATGCTTGACTCGCATGTGTGACACCCTGAGTTTAGTCTCCAGCATCACACACACACACACACACACACACACACACACACACACACACACACACATACACACACACACATACAGGAAAGGAGGTTGGGAGGGGCGGAGGAAGAAAGGGAGAGAGAAGAAAAATGGTGTGGAGGGTCACACCTTATAATCCTACTGCTTGGAAAACTGAACCGGAAAAATTGCCATGAGTTTGAGTACATAGGACAGCCTGGGCTACAAGTGAAATATTATCTCAATAACATCAAACCCACAAAAATGCATTGCTTTTTCTAATGTTTTTAGAACTTTGCAGCACACTTATATGCTTACTCATGTGTTGGAGACTATCTGCAGTTGCTTTAGTCATTTCTGTTAGTCATCAGAAGAACAGGACTAATTATTATGTAGAGATATAGTATTTGCTGTGGAAGGCCATGTAACTAACATGTTAGCTAGATGTCAGGCATTGTGACATATGCCTTAATATGTTTAATCTCATCTAATTCTCATAAAACCCGGTGAAGAAGTGGAACTGGACAGAGAAGTTAATTTTCTTAATTTGGGCCAGACAATAAATGGCAAGGCTTCAATATCCTAAAATGTATTATGACAAAAACTTTGCACATATGATCCAATTATGTAAATATATATGTATGTATGTATGTATGTATATATGTGCATGCGGAAAGGTAAGATGTTGACAGTTGGATGGTGTCACTGTGACTTCGTTATTTTCTTCTACTTTATCTGTTTATTATTTTTCCAAGATGGGATCATCCCACATGGCCCATGCTGACTTGAACTCTCAGTCGCCCCTACAGACCTCACTAGTGCTGAGGTTACTAAGATGCCTGGTGTGCTTTCTGTGACTGTGGCAAACTTAGGAAGAGGAAGTGAAGCCAGGAGGCAGATGAGATACTTGTGTAATTTTCAAGATTGCTAAATCTGAAAAGTCTGATAGTAATATGGAACAATGGCACACATAGAGAGAGTTGCTCTTTAAGAGGGAATTTTTTAATGGGGAGGGAAAGCTAGCCTAAAGGGAAGGAAGAGAGATCCCGGGGTCGAATGAGGGGAATGCAAGGGAACCTATTGCAAAAGGCATAAGTGGAAAGGGTCAATTTGAGCAGGAAGTATCGACCTCAGAGAAGCTGGGGTGGAAAGGTGAAAGGTATGAGTGAGTGGGCAGAGGAGTGGGAACGGCAGGTGAAGGAGGGTGTAACACGTGCGTGTCCACCTGATGACCTATGCCTGCTCATTAAAATCCAAAGCTAGAATAGAGGGGTCTGAGGCAAGAGTCAGGTAGGGGATATGAGGAGATGGAAAGGATTTGGAACAATCACTGAGAGAAATGTGATATCAATATATAAAAGGACTGCCTCACAGCTCTTGGGGCCCGGCGGGGGCTGGCTGGCCAGGCTTTGTAGTGGAGCCAACTTCCTGACCTTCTCCAGCAATAGCAGGCTGCCTAGGAGAGGGTGCTGGACAGAATGCACACTGTGCTAGCGTTTTCCCAAGGCTGGGGATTGGCAGAGCAGGTGCTGCGAAGGTCGTTGGGAGAGGGAGTTGAGTAGATCAACATGAGCAGAGCTAAAATGGCTGGCCATGGGGCTGAGTTGGAAGGAGCTGAAAGGAACCTAGGAGGTTACTAATGGCTTCTGCGAAGGGAGGGCAGAAGAAGGTCAGAGTGCTAGCTGTGAGGGAGGGAGGGAGGGAGGGAGAGAGAGAGAGAGAGAGAGAGAGAGAGAGAGAGAGAGAGAGAGAGAGAGAGAGAGAGAGAGAGAGAGGAGAGAGAGAGAAGCTCAGCACTAGGAGGCTAAAGAAATGCAGAGTGTTAGCTGTGAAGGCCAAAGGGCAGGAGAGGGGGCGGGGGAGGGGGAGAAAAGTCCAGCAATAGGAGGCTAGGGTCACAGAAGTGTCTTTGACTTGGAGATATTGAAAGGGTTCACTATGGACTCTGGAAGTAAGTGTGAAGAAGCAGCCAAGATGTGGCAAAGGAGCACACACAGAATGGAAGCAGCACTTGCCCGAGCAAGGACAACTTAGTGTCATCTGTCAGAGTTACACACGTTCCCTTCCATTCAGCAACTCTGCCTTAAGGAGCTTTGCCTTACTCACGCGCTTGATTTGTGCAGGATAATTATCTGTAACTGCATCTGATGAGAAACAGCCTGAAACCCAATCATAGTGAGATACGTTGTAGTTCATGAAGTGGAATGCTATATGGTTGTATAAAAGGATGCAGTTCATGTGCTGGTATGAAATAATCACTGTGTAGTAAGTGGGAGAACCAAGGCACAGCAGAGTGGGAACAGAGTGCAGTGAGTTGACGACACAAGTATAAAATAGTTCCAGAACGAGACACAAACAATATTGGTTTCTCCAAAAACAGCTGTTGGCAAGCACACTGGAGCTGGAAACTTTTGCCTGGGGACAAAGGTGGAACAAGGCACCACACACACACTCTTAACAACAAGTCAGGGTAATACTATATATATATATATATAGCTGGAGACTTGCTATACAGACAAGACTGCCCTCAAACCCAGAGATCTGCTTCCCTCTGCCTCTGGAGTGCTAGGGTTAGAGGAATGCACCGTCATACCTGGATCTTCTTGTGAAGTTTAAAAACATGTGTGTGTGTGTGTGTGTGTGTGTGTGTGTGTGTGTGAGTGTGAAACATGAAAACTTTCAAGTGTATACATGTGGGAATCAGAGGACAACTTGCGGGAGTTGTTTCTCTCCGTCCATTATATGGCTCCTGAAATTTGAACTCAAGTTATCAGGCTTGTGAGCAAATTTTTATTCATGGAGCCATTGCAAAAACCCTTCCTTTCCTCTCTTTCTCCTACCTTTTGCATTTTGAGCCATGGAAATATATTACTTGCCAAGAAAATAATTTAAAATATATGAATGTAATCTCTCAACCTCAGTTTTAGGTATGTATGTAATTTGTATCTACTTTATAGATATAAATCATTAGAATAAAGTACAACAAAAACTTCCAATAGAATTTTGTTCCAAACCAGTCATTTTTCCAGGATATTTGGTCAGGATTTGGATGAAATGGAACTGACCATGTGTTGAAGTTAGGTGATGAATATATGGGGATTTATTTTCATTTGATATATGAAATTGCTCTTTTTTCAGACAGTGTCTTACTCTGTAACCCAGACAGACTAGAACTCAAAGTTGGCCTCAAATTTGCCAACCAAGTGCTTGGATAGTAGGTGTGACCTGCCATGCCTTGCTAAAATGCCATCTTTTTGGAGAGACAGAGTCTCACTACATAGGACTAGCTGGTTTGGAACTTACTGAGATCTATCTGTTTCTATCACCCAAGTGTTAGAAAGCAATAAAAAATAACCAGCAAAATGGTTCAGCAGATAAACATGCCAGCAAACCTGAGTTCTATCCCAGAGGCCACATAGTAGAAGGATAGAATCTACTGCCAGAAACTGTCCTTTGCACTCCTCAATTGCACCACACCACTTTTATGCACACACACACACACACACACACGTTAAAAAATGAAAACAATTTCTATCAGGCTCTTGCTAAGAACATTCAGGCACTTTCTCATCCTGCATCTTGTATCTCATAATTGAATGGAAATTCCCATTCCCCATTGACTTCAGAAACAGCATCATTACCTCACTGATTTCCCATTATTATGGGGCCTGGTACTGTTCTCAGGATTTTTCCTATTAATGACAACCTCTCCCTGTCCTGTTGGGTGTTAATTGGCTACTACCTTATTCTTATTGCTTGCAAAGCTCATCTTGTTCTCAAAAAATCACTTCATTAGATACTTTGTTGTAATGACCACTTGACATTCTCTTTTTACCCTGGTTTATTATTAGCTACCCTAACTAATTTGTGGCCGTTCCCTTAACTTGGTTACTTATACTTATCAGTCTAGGGGCTCATGTCTCTTGGACATTCAGTTACACATCGTAGCAAAGGTCATGGGTGAGCACACTTGTGTTCAACCTTTCAACTTCGAGATGTTTGCTTATGTCTGCTCTTCTTACATTACCTAAGAGGCCATAGTGGCCTCATCCTGACTGCTGACCACTGCTAATCCTTGCCCCGTTGTCTGTCCTCAGGAAGCAGGTGGCTTTCTTCTGCTACAGGCTCAAGTGTCTTCCCTGTATCCATATCTGTCAGCCACCTCTGCATGCATGTCTTGCCAGCACCCGAAAACTTCCCAAGGTCTCCCAACTGTCATAGTTAGACTCTGGAGTGCCCCCCTTCCAAGGCTCATATTTTGAATGCTTGCTTCCCAGCTGGTGGCACTATTTTGGGAGGAGGCTGTGGAAATTTCAGGAGGTGGAGCCAACTAGCAAAAATAGGTCAGCAGGGGTGGGCCCTTAAAGGTGATAGC